GGTCGAACACATCTACCCTTAGTCGATATTAAGGACCGTTAAGGTCGGATCGAGTGTCGATTAAGTTACGCCCGATCAACATATGCTCGGAGACTTATGGTCCCAAAGGGAAGTCGTAAATTTAAGCACTATATATAAGGTTAATACAACAAGAGGAAGGTAAGTTTCATTAAATACTATTATTGTTACATTCAATATACACATTATTCTTATTTTGCAAGATATTGACTTGGACGTCGGAGGGTATTGCGCCGGAGCAATTCGGCGCTTTGCAGGTACCGACGAACTTGCACGCTCTGATAGGACCGAACCAACTAGCCACAACTCAAACTGAAGAGGACCCTTTAAAGAACCGGAGTCTCTTATCTTGGAACCTATCACTAACCCTAACCCCAGCTCTGCACTCTCATTTTCTCAAACACAGCCGACAATTCAAGTTTGAATATGTATTGGATATGTTACAAAAATTTGATCCTATTTGTTATCAGTGAATTCATGTTTTTTTTTTTTTCTTTTTTTTTTCTTCCAGCTTTCGCTTTTCTAATTTGTTTAGTATTTTTTTTTATTATGTATTATGAAGAATTTGTTTAGTATTTTTTTTTAATTATGTATTATGAAGATTGAGGCTTTGCTCTGTTCCAGTTTTGCCCAAGCTTTTGTAATTCTTTTTTTATCTATTATGAGGCTGGCCGGCCGGCCTAGCCCGCGGCCCGTGGCGGAAGTGGGCCGGGTTGAGGGCCAGCCAGCTTCACTGGCCCATTTTGACATGTCTAATTCCGAACAAGAAAACTTAAAATAAAAAGTAAGAATATAATAATTAAACAAAAAAAAAACAAGAAATATTAAGAATTCAAGTTTTAGATTAAAATTTCTACAAACAATTGGTTCCCATTCCAATTTCTCTTACCTTATTTTCATAGTGGCATATCTCCATATTATTTTTCAATTTACAACATCTCGCATACTACACTTAAATTTGACTTCATCATGAATAAAATACTTCCGACCAAATAAAATTGAAAACTAGACCTATCAACACAAAAAAGAAAACAAACAAAATGAAATTTGGGCCATAAAACTAGATGATTGTCTCAACAAGTAAATACGCAGCATATTCGTGACGGTCAAAATCCTCTAAAATCCCAAGCACATTTTAGAGGTTGGGAAAAAACGAAGAGGGTCTCCCACCATGCGTCAACAATAGATTCAATAACATCTAGAAAATTAAATGAATAACAAAAAACGTCCACTACTCGACTATGATTATCAAAGAAGCCATGCTTAGTAAAAGAACCCGAGTACTTTCCCTCCAACATTTTTCCTACGAGCTTCTTCATGATCCATAATCCCAGCAGATGTTGTCAGAACAATGTAGCCAAACTGCAGAGGGTATTAAAAGGATGACATCAGGCCCAAAAATGCTGAGCTAAAGTCCAGTTGCAGCTAAAAACAAAATCACTTCACAGTGTAATCAAATCAAATTAAGTATAATATCAAAACAATATTCCAGGAAGTTGCCCCTACAAATTGTACCCCATGCATTTCTTTCAACAAGTTCAAAAGTGTTGTTCTTCGGACCCAATATTGTTGATTTCAATAAGAGTTTGGTCAGCATAAAGTATGGTTGTTGTAGAACCAAAAAAGGCCAGAAATTTGCTGACATGCCTACTTTTAAGAAAACTTAACCGAGTGGGCAGGAAAATCAACGAATCCACTAACTCAGATGTTATGTTTAACGATTATAAAGTTCAACGAGCACCAAATCCTCAATTAAAATCACAGATTAACAACATATCATGATAGTCGACCTGAATTTGAACGAGTGGCCCTGAATTACACATTTCCATACGAAAATTGACATCAATTAAGATGGAACTAGCTTTCAACTACTCCCACTAATAACATACATGCAACATTTCAAAGGAAAAAAGTGTGAACTTGTCACGATATGATCAATTTATCACCAATGTACCTGTCTTGATGGGAGCAGCCTGGCAGTCCAAGGCTCAATTTCCTTGACACCGACATCAAACCGAGGGCTGATCACCCCGCATTTGTTGAGCCTTCCATTCAGCTCCACCACAATCTTTCCAGACCTATGGTCATCAACAAACTCAAATTCGCCAATGTATCCTGTAAACGCCACAAAAAAAGTGAAATCCATAAATGAAGGAGCAATTAAGAGATGAATAAATGATCGCGTAAAAGAAAATGTAGTCTTACCATGCTTTTGCATGACCAGAAGAAACTTGATGATGACTTTTGAGGAAGGCCTAATCATGACCTGACGTTTGCCCCTCTTCTCAGCATTATACATGCTGTTCAGTGCATCATTCAAGACACTCGCTCTCACCATCTTTCAATGCAATCTGACTGGGGACAACGGAATTATAAGCAGGCATAAAACGCAAAGAGAGACTACTTTCCTTTACGTGGCGCTGTTTGCGTGTAAACTCCATGACATGATTGAAAAAAGCAGACTAATCATTTCTGATATACCTTTCAATATCAAAAGCACACTTCATTCGTGGTGATGTTATAATAATAAGCCATCAAAAGAGCCCGGGTAAACCCATTTCAGTCCACCAGCTCATGTTAAAAAAGAAAACCCATTTCTAGTTGAGCTCTCTAAGATGCAAAAAAGAAAACCCATTTCAGCCCACCAGCCCCTTTTCTAGATTGTTTCTAAGATTTTAATAGCAATGACAGAGACGTGAACACTGAAACAAGACGCAGAACCTAAAGTACATGTTCTGTTCTTACAAACGCAATGTATCGAATACAACCCTTTTTTTTCCTTCAGATATTAAAAATTGAAGATCAGAGAGATTTTTATCATCAGAATCCTAATAGAAGCAGCTTGATACAGGCGATAACGAACAGAAAACTGATACAACAAAGGAGGAACTACAAAAACTAAAAAGCGTCTTGCAAAATGAATGCTAAGAAAATCTGATAGATTCAACAACAAAACTAAATCTGAGTGAACAACATCACTAAATCTCAGTGAATATGAACCAAAGCAAGTAGGTTTAGATCAAAAGGAATACCTGAGAGACAGCGGCCGCCGCTCCTTGAGGTTTTCCTGTCTTTTCTGTTGAGCGAG